TCTGCAGCTCAGTTGGATGCTAAAAGCACAAGGAGAGGCCCAATTCCCCTCCCTCCCCTCTGGTTAAAGCACACTGAAGAAGAAAACATTTACCCATCAAAGGCCATTCTGCAAGAATCTGCTTCTGTTCTGCTAATCCTCATTAGCAGGCAAGCTCAACAAGCGATAGCCATCTCTCTCCACCTGACCCACAACAAAGGCGGCCTTTCTGTCATAGTGTTTGTGTTCTCGCCCCTCAGCTTCCCCTGGGGGAACTGAACTCTGCTGCTGTGACACAAATGACTGAAAGAACTTAAGCGTTTTATATGAAATCCTGCTAATGGGATGGCAGCAGTAGCCAAAAGTGTTCCCGGTGGATGCATGCCCCATGCCCCTCAAAGTGCACATTGCATCAGTTTGGTTTGCAAATTTAGCCAGGTAGCTCGGCTGCCTTGAGGGTGGACCTGATAAGGACAAGGCTGAGGGTCAGAGTCCCATGAGGGATCATAGAATCTCAGAATTGCAGAGTTGGAAAGGTCATCTTGTCCAACCCCCTGAAAAGCAGGAATTGCAGCTAAAGAATCCCCGGGAGATGTCCATCCAACCTCTGCTTAAAAACTTCCAAGGAAGGAGAGAGTCCACTACCTCCCACTATTGTTCCACTGTCAAACACCATTCTTCCTGGTTGGAGATGGATAAGGTTCTCACGGCTGCCCCCTTTGGATTCAGTCATTCCTCTCACTGGCCCTCTAGAGAAAGGTGTCCCTTCCTTCCTTTATGTTTACAAAATGATGCATGGTCTGGAGAAAAGTGCTAGATGGCGGAGGCGCAGGTCAATTCTGTGTCCAGGGCAGCTGTCTACCAGCTCCATTTGGTACACAGGCTGAGATCCTACCTGCCCGCAGACTGTCTCGCCAGATTGGTGCATGCTCTGGTTATCTCCTGCTTGGAATACTGCAATGCGCTCTATGCGGGGCTACCTTTGAAGGTGACCCAGAAATTACAACTAATCCAGAATGCGGCAGCTAGACTGGTGACTGGGAGCAGCCGCCGAGACCACATAACACAGGTCTTGAAAGACCTACATTGGCTCCCAGTACGTTTCTGAGCACAATTCAAAGTGTTGGTGCTGACCTTTAAAGCCCTAAACGGCCTCGGCCCAGTATACCTGAAGGAGCATCTCCACCCCCATCGTTCTGCCTGGACACTGAGATCCAGCGCCGAGGGCCTTCTGGTGGTTCCCTCATTCCGAGAAGCCAAGTTACAGGGAACCAGGCAGAGGGCCTTCTCGGTAGTGGCACCCGCCCTGTGGAATGCCCTTCCACCAGATGGCAAAGAGAAGAGCAACTATCAGACTTTTAGAAGACATATGAAGGCAGCCCTGTTTAGGGAAGCTTTTAATGTTTAACAGACTACTGTATTTTAATACTTGGTTGGAAGCCGCCCAGAGTGGCTGGGGAAACCCAGCCAGATGGGCGGGGTATAAATAATAAGTTGTTGTTGTTGTTGTTGTTGTTGTTGTTGTTGTTGTTGTTGATGATGATGATGTTTTTCCCCTTCGTATAATAATAGAATGGAGCCAGGAGCAGAAATGGAAGGTTGTGGGTATATTCGGTCTTTACAGGCCTCTCTCATATCCTCTGAAAACAGTTTTTCATTCCCCCTTTTTTCCCCCAAAGCTTCATCATTCCTATTATGAAAATGCTCTTAGCTGATCTCCAATATTATTCACCTCTTAGGAGAGCATTTAATGGACGTGGGGGGAAGAATGGAAAAGGAACAAAGAACCAGTATAGAACAGTTTGGGGTTTTTTACAAACATACTAATGGTTCGAAGTCGTGAGTTGCAGGTCTCAGCACACTTTAACAATGACCCTGTGAAATAGCTAAAAATCACAGCAACGATGCTGCCAGGTTCCCCAGCTTCCTCTCTTGCTCTGATTTGCAACATCTTCTGCTCTCCTGGTCTGGCCTTCCTCTTTAGTGACCCCCAATATGCAGAAACCTCCCACTCCCCCACCCCGTCCCTGTGAGATCAAATTATCTCCTTCTCTGCCACTGATCCATTGCCATTTAAAAACTTTAGCAAGTTTTCCCTTCCGCTTCGTCTTTTAGATTCTTTTTTTTTAAAAAAAAAAATCCAGCTTCTTTGCTTTATTGCTGCTTTTGCATATATATTTTGATTTGATAGAGTGGTTGAAACTTTACTTATTGTTGGTGTTGCGACATGCTTTTATATTCATCATTAGTTGCTTGGACATCCCCATTTGGCAATTGCAATTGCGCATTGCAATTTTTGTGTTGTGTCGACAAAAACCGGGATTCATGGGTTGTTAGGGGAGGGGGTATTACCTCTGATGGGAGACACGTCATGCTCCTTCTGGGGTCATTTGCCTGCCTTTGGTCCCTACCTTGCACTCAGCTCTCACCTGTGGCTCCTAGAAGCTGCCGGCATGAGACAACGGCCAGAAGGGAGGGCTAAAAGCATAAGAGGTTACAGTGGATACTCGGGTTGCGAACGTGATCCGTGCGGGATGCACGTTCACAACCCGCAGCGTTCGCAGCCTGCAGCGGCGCATCTGTGCACACGCAGGTTGCAATTCGGCGCTTCTGCGCATGCGCAAAGTGTGATTTAGCATTTCTGTGCATGAGCAAAGCGCTATTTAGCGCTTCTGTGCATGCGCAAAGCGCTATTTAGCGCTTCTGTGCATGCGCAAAGCGCTATTTAGCGCTTCTGTGCATGTGCGACCCCCAAAACCCGGAAGTAACCCATTCCGGTACTTCCGGGTTTCAGCGGGTCCGTAACCTGAAAAAACGCAACCTGAAGCATCTGTAACCCGAGGTATGACTGTATTACGTCTGGTGGGAATGTAAAATTATTAAAAAGGCCTGGGGAAAAACATATAAAGACCTGAAGAGAATGTGGAAAAGGATGGTTGTTAAAAAAAATTAAAGTCATGATATTGAGAGGTACAGGACTTGATGGACTTACAGACAAAAGACTTTGTTCCTGTCTTTGAGAGTGGATCAAAAGTCCAAGACCAGCTAGCTCCTACTGAAGGATGAAACCTCCACCAAAGAAGAAGAAGACTGGGAAAATAAATTATTGAACTATGCAGGACAAATTGGCCAATTTGAAACCCGAGAAAGAAAGGGGGCTTTGAACTTTAAAGAAGAAGTAAAGGTTTACTGCATATTCTTCAAGCTTTGTGTATAGACTTCCACATTAGTATAACTTTTAAAACTCATTTGTAATAAGATGAAGAAGGTTTAAAAATTGGATTGTTAAGAATATAAAGTTTTATGGACATGGATGAACAAGTATTAAGTAATGGAACCAAGAGGGGGAGTGGAGGGAAGTCAACCAAAAAATTATGGTTCAAAAATTGTCTTCTTGTCGAAAGGAAGAAAACAAGACATTATACTTATATGCAACAGTAGCCGCAAGGCTATTGATTGCTAAAAATTGGAAAAGTGGCATTATACCGACAAACATAGAGTGGCTTGCCAAATTATTGGAGTACTACAATATATCCAAAACAATGGGAGAAATTGGAAGGATCTCAAAAGGGAAGATAGACAGGGACTGGAAGGTGTTTAAAGGATACTTGCCAAACCATATTGAAAAATCAGAACTCCTATTAGAATAAACAAGTTATGTTTTAAATACTGGAATACTAAATAAGATGGATAACAATGTGTAATAGAAAAAGAAGCATGAAATTAGGTTAAAGGTGTGTGATAGAAAGTAATAGACGTGGAAAGAAATTGCAATTGAGTAGATTGGAAGTCTAACACTAAGGTGGGGTGAGGGGTGGTGGATGGTGATGGGAAAAGGAATTATCTGTGGGATTGAGTGTAGGTACGTCTGAACATTTTAAAGGATTGTATGAAATGTATGTTTGTATGTTTGTATATTCACAATATGTGTGTATTAATGCTGAATTATTGTAACAATAAAAACTTTTCAAAAAAATTAAAAAGAAGAGAAGAAAAAAAAGAATTATGGTTCAAAAATTGGTTTGTGGTGTTATTTTCTTTTTTGTTATTGTTATTTTTGGAAAATTAATAAAATGTTATTTTTTAAAAAAGCATGAGACAGCAGCCACACCCCAGGAACCAGTAGCATGTGGATAATTTTTTTGTGGGAGAAGAATTAGGGCAGAGGAGCCAGCTTGCGAGGGTGGTGTGGGGCGATGTCGCAAAGTTGGGTATTGTGCCACCTTCCCTAAGCCAGGCAGAAGCCTCCCAGGCTTTGGGAAGGAAGTGTCAGGACACTGACAGGATGTTAGAGCCCTGCTGTCTCCTTCCCAAAGTTGGGAGGGCTTTGGAAAAGTGGCGGAATGGCTCTTGGCCTCGTTGAAGCATTGAGCTGCCCTCCCTAAACTGAGCAGAAGCTTCCTGGGCTTTGGGAAGTGTGGGAATGTTCAGGGATGCAGGAGAGGATATATTGTTTGATTATAGCTTTTCCAACTTGTGTAAACAAGTTTACAATTTAGCAGAGTAACTTTCCCCTTTTTAAACTTACAGCGGATACGTTTGCTCAGGCTCGCGAAAGCCTCTATAATAACTGTTCTGGTATTTTCCCCTTATTCCCTCATAAAAGATAATACATGACACAGTCTTATATAAAAGTATAAAAAAGGGTTTACTCACATTCTGTTCACAATCGGATCCCAGAAGGCAGACTTAGCTTAGAAAAGTAACATTCACCAGGAAACTATCCCATAAAGAGACAGTCCCTTTGTCCTCTCTTGGCTGGAAGCATCTTTGGCTAAGCAGATGTTGCTTCTTCGATGCATGTAGTCAAAGGGAGAGAGATGGCTGCCCTGCCCTGTGCTTTTGTCGTTACCTGCACAGGTGAGGCCACGCCCACCTCTAGTCACATGCAGAGGAAGTCTGTCCCAGCCCAGAAGGAAACAGGAAGTTCACCTGCTGGCTGGACAAACATTCCTCCCCATGTGTAAACATGTTCACTCTAGGAATGTTGTACTTGACTGCTCTTGTGTTTCACATCCCACAGGAAGGAGGCACCAGGGGAACATGTAAGGGACTAGCCTAGTTCCCCATGTCCACTGACCACATGCCACTGCCAGGAACAATTTCGACTGGCCAGCTAAACCAGGTGAGGGTAGCTGATGGGTCTCAAACCCTCTGTGAGTTGGGGACTTGCGCTGCTTGTGAAGACAGGCTCCAGCAGACTGAGAACAATAGTGGGTCCAACGGTCAAGAAGATGGCTTCTGGCTTCTGAACAGCAGAATGTAATGTCTGACGTAATAAACCAGAAATGGAAGCTGAGGGAAGTCAATAGGGAGGGGGGAAATTGGAAAATGAATGTTATTGATATTGGATATTGGTTATGAGAAAAATAAAGTTAATTTTAAAAAATAAAGAGAAGATGATTGCTTCTGCCTGTGCTGTAGAAGGAAGTGAGGGACAGTTGAGGATCATCAACCTGGGAAGGGACGCCATTGAGGAGAAGGAAAACTCTGGTCCTAAATCTCCGCTACCTTGCAGGACATCTTTGGGAGAAGAAAAGGTTAAGGAGTAAATGCTACACAAATCAGGAATGGAGTCCCTAAGATGGTTGGATGGCGCCTTATACGCCTCCTTCCAGCAACTTCTGCAGCCAGGCTGGTGCCAAACATCTTGCTCTGCTTTCCTTTAGCAAGGTGAAGAGGCGGGTCTTTGTTAGGATATAGTTCCACCTTAAAAGGGAGCAGGCATGACTGTTGTGTGTCACATGCCTGTTTACATTTCCAGCACAGTCTGCTGGGAACTTCCGTTTGTATATTGCTTTTGCTTTTTGCTGTTTTGCTGGAGACGAAGGAAGCAGACATGTTTTTCCTTTGTTCCTGAACTATGCTGAATAAATGCTGTAAATCATGCTTGCACATGTCTCTGTCCGCCACTTCCGTTGTGAGGATTTATTCACTCTGCCGATAAGAGCGTGCACAGCTTCTAAACGTATCTGAGGCTCATGTCGCTGATTGATGCTGCTCCAAGGGAGACTGGTGTTCGTCTGGCTACTGACCGGTGGCTGGAGCCAGCTTGGGGGGGCTGCCAAATGCCCCCGTCTCCCCAGCAGTATCCCAACATCGAGGCAGCCCAGGACCTCCCACTGCCCACGCATGTGCCTCAGGGACGTCACCTCAGTCCTGCTAACGCAACTGTTTGACTTCACCCTCAGAGGGACACTTCATGGTCTCTTGAGACAGACAGATGCAGCCATTAGATAGAAACCAATTAGATAGAAACCAATGATTTTTTTTTTTAATGCAGTTGCTCCTAGAAGCCCCAGCCTCTAGTCACAACCTCTAGGTATTCCCCACTCCACCCCTCCCCCATTTTCCCCTCTATTATTTTTAATGATTTTTATTGGTTTTACATATACCGGTAATCGCATTACGTAACACCCTATCCTCTTATTTTATCTCTTTGGCTCAACTGAGCCTAACTTCCCTCCCTCCCGTCTAATAGTTTACAAAATTAAACTTTGCATCTTTACAGTTCACTTCATTTCCTATCCTTGTTACATCATTACCTAAAACATTAAATGACTCAGCCTGAATAGGTAGCAATTTCATCTTACAAATCTTCAGATAACCCTGCTAGTGATGTTAATTGCTTACAGTTATCTTTCAAATATAATATGACTTGATCCCAGTCTTTTTGGAATGCTTGGTCTCGCTGGTTCCGGGTTCTTCCCGTCAGTTTCATCAGTTCTGCAAAGTCCATCAACTTCATCTGTTGTTTCCATCTCTGGGCTAACAAAATTCTTGCCACAGTTGTTGCATATAAGAGCAATATTTTTTTTTCTTGTCTCGGTATCTCTTTACCCACTATACCCGATAAAAAAGCTTCTGGGTTTTTTTTAACAAAAGTGTTTTTAAACATTTTCTTTAACTCACCATTTCCCTCTCTAAGTTTCAGTTCAGCAGGCGGCAAGCAGCCGGCTTGCTGGTCAGTGCATGTGTGTGAAAGCTGGGCAGACTGGGAGCCTCCTTGCCATTGTCTGAGTTGCCTGGCAACTAGGTTACCATGGAGACGTTTGTACACTGGAGGCCTGGACCAAAAGGACAGACCAGTACAAGGCCCTGAGAGCTGCAGGAGAGGATGTTGACTTGGCAGGTGAGAGAAGGGTCACAGAGTGGGAGAAACCGAAAAGTGGGGTTTTTAGGGTAAGGGGGAGCCTGGGACCTTGTGTTTCACCCCTATATCACCACCCCACTCCTGTCCTTTCCCTCGTGGATGTATTTGCCTCTGCATGGGAAGAAGATTGACAGTTTTCATTTCAAAGGCAAATCAGCCTACATTCTCACTTGCCAAAAGTATGCAAACTAAGACACAGCTTTCCTTCAAAGTCCGTATTCCTCTGAATTTTGCAAAGCGGTTCCCTAACCAAATGATGTGTGCATATATACTGTCCAGGGTAAAGTGTGCCTAAAAATGCATATATTAGTGAAAAAATATAACATATTAGGGAAGATTGCTTTGCAGAAATGTGAATATTGGGTAGAATTGTGTAACGTGTAGCAGGAGAAAACTCTGGTGAATTTTCAAGGAACTTTTCAAGGGACTTTTTTTTAAAAAAAATCACACATGGGGAGAACAGATCTTAAGAGTGGAAAACCTGAGAGAAGGCAAAATGGGACAGACGGAAATCCCCAGGTGTCAAAACAGGTTATTTATGTATGCCACTACTGCGGCCCGTGTTTTGTTAGCCCAAAAATGGAAAACGAGTGAGGTCCCAACCAAAGAAGAATGGCAACTTAAGCTGACAGAATATGCACAGATTGCAGACTGCACAATTAACATATAGAATATGTCAATTAACATATAGAATAAGAGAACAAAAAGAACATACATTTAGAGAAGATTGGGAAACGTTTACTGAATATATGGGGGGAAATTGTGTACACTTGGAAACGTTGGCAGCATTAAGATAAATTCAACAGTGTAAATAGGTTTTGATGGATGCAATAATGGAATACAGAATGGTTTAGTTTATGTAAAATATGCAGTGATTTATGGTATGCAAAATGAGCCATGGATAGAGAAGAAGGGAAGTCATTGATATCTTAAGGATGTTTAACTGAGTATTTTAAATTGCAAAACAAAATTTAATACTATATATATGAGAGAGAGAATGTTGGGATGCAAAGAACATGGGGGTGTTGGGGCAATTTGTTGTTGTTTAGTCATTTAGTTGTGTCCAACTCTTCGTGACCCCATGGACCAGAGCACACCAGGCACTCCTGTCTTCCACTGCCTCCCGCAGTTTGGTCAAACTCATGCTGGTAGCTCTGAGAACACTATCCAACCATCCGGTCCTCTGTCGTCCCCTTCTCCTTGTGCCCTCCATCTTTCCCAACATCAGGGTCTTTTCCAGGGAGTCTTCTCTTCTCATGAGGTGGCCAAAGTGTTGGAGCCTCAGCTTCAGGATCTGTCCTTCCAGTGAGCACTCAGGGCTGATTTCCTTCAGAATGGAGAGGTTTGATCTTCTTGCAGTCCATGGGACTCTCAAGAGTCTCCTCCAGCACCAATGGAGCAATAATGGAGTTTAACTGAGTGTATGTTGTGTGGGTGGTTTGGACCTCTTCACTGGCTTATTATTTTGGCTCAAGCACTGCTTGGCAGTGGCATACGGGAACAGGGCCAGTTTCATGGATTCAAACCCTGGTCTCCAAGGTCCTAGTCCCACCCTATAACCACAACGCTACACCTGCCACTCATCCTCCAAGGCTTCCCAATGGGATTTTAATGGTGGGCAAATGTCATTGCTTCATCTGAATGGGAGACAAAGTCAGCGCCTATCCATGGCGGCTGCCCGCCATCTTAATTTAAGCAAAATGCAATGCCCCAACCTTTAAATCCATAAGGTCTATGAGGCTGAGTTTTATAGATTTCATAGGACTATATAGGCTGGAGCATTGAATTTTGGGTAAATTAAGAAGGCTGGCAGCCACCAAGTATGGGAGCTGAGCTTTGCTCCCATTGAAAAATAGCACTGCCACTCACCGGCTCCTAAAATGAATGTCCAAGGGGCTGACAGAGAGGTGCTGAGAGGTGTCGCAGCTGAGTGTCATAGACTGGCTGGAGATAGAGGAGTGATGGGAGGCACCAGCTGGGAAATCCCCAAGGGAAGAAGGTTCAGAACCTTGGTGGTGGGAGGATGGCAAGTGGTCAGAGGGAGAAGACTTCAGGGAGGAGGCATCGGAAGCTGAAAAGGCCACAGGGTTTCGTGAGCAGGAAGAGGTTGTGACAGATGGCAGTTCAAACTTCAAGGCTGAAGCAGAGGCTGGAGAGGGATGGGGCCAGGAGACAGAGGGGCTGGCTGCTGAAGAAGCCAGGGTGTCATTGTCATCCCCTGTTATGACCAGCTCCCCTCCCCACTGGTCTCCTAGGACATGCAGAGAAATGAAAAGAGCAGAGCAGAGATTAGTTGTGTGCAGGTACAGTCTGAGATTGCTTGGGGAAAGCCCATGAGAGGAGCAAAAAGGGTTTTCTTGTGTGTGTGTTTCTTTGTGGCAGATTAGCTGCTCTCCCTGTGCAAAGGTCAGAGGGGGCAGGGTTTCTGTTGAGGCAGGTGATTAGCTGTGGGAGGAGCTTATCAGCTGCTCCAGAGAAGTGGACACGGAGCAATGGATCCAAACTACAAGAAAGAAGATTCCACCTAAACATTAGGAAGAACTTCCTGACAGTAAGAGCTGTTCGACAGTGGAATTTGCTGCCAAGGAGTGTGGTGGAGTCTCCTTCTTTGGAGGTCTTTAAGCAGAGGCTTGACAACCATATGTCAGGAGTGCTCTGATGGTGTTTCCTGCTTGGCAGGGGGTTGGACTCGATGGCCCTTGTGGTCTCTTCCAACTCTATGATTCTATGATTCTAGGAAGAGCCTTAGAGAGTGGTGGAACACAGGGACCTTCAGTCCTCGCTGTTGGGGTGCTGCCAGGAGACGGGGGCGTCTGGCAGGCCCCTAGCTAGCTCCAGCCAGCAGCCGGGCGAAACTCCGGTTCTCGGAACAGCATCAAAACTGCGACTCAAGCCTCAGAAGCCTTCAGAGGCTTAAGCATACAAGCCAGCAGAGAAAAAACTCTTTGCAGCAGAAGTAGCGGACAGAGACATGTGTAAGCATATTTACAGCATTTATTCAGCAGCAGGACAATGGAAAAACATGTCTGCTTCTCTTTGTGTCCAAGCAAAACAGCAATAGCAAAAGCAATATACAAAAGGAAGTTCCCAGCAAGCCTGTGCTGGAAGTAAACAGGCATGTGACACACAACAGTCATGCCTGTTCCTTTTAAGGTGGAATGGAACTATATCCTAACACTCACAACTGCCTTGCTAGACCAAGACCAACTGGGAAGACTTGCTAGGATCATCATCATTTTTTATTTGTATGCCGCCTTTCCACAGTTAAAAAAACAATGCTCAAGGCGACTTACAGCATGACAAGATTTGCATAATTACAAAAGTCATAAACAATAAATAAAGCACATCAAAAAAATACACAACCATATGGAAAACAATTTCCACATAAATCAAAATCTAAAACTAAGAATACAGCATTATTTATTTAAAATGACATAGGTAAAAAATAACAGCAGTTTAAACAAAAAACGAAACAAAATGGAGCCCTCTCTGCCCAGCGGCAGCAGTCCTTTATAGAGCCCATCAGGTCCCGCCCTAGGCCAGGTGGTGAGTGGCAGGACTGGGGCTTTCAGGCGCTGAGCAGGGATCACTAGACCTGCGCTACTTTAGTTTCTTTGAGACCCTGGTATCTTTATTGCTGACCTGAGCTTGATTCCAGCTCCTGACATTGGGTCAGGCTGGCAGGAGCTCCTGGGGGCTAGTGCTGGACCTCGCCAAAGCTGGCACCAACCACAACTAGGAAATTCACCATCAAGGTCACAGGTAACCTGTCTTGTCCTGTCCTGTCCACTTTTCCCATGATGCACTCTGGAAAGCAAAGCATGACCTGGCACTTTTCTCTTTTTGACCAACAGGGAAACTATTGTCTTGCATTGTATCTAAAGACCCTCTGAGACAGAAGTTTTGTTCTCAAGGAAGTGGCTTTTTAAAAAAACAACAACACACACACACTCACCATTGACTTTCCCCAAAGGTAAGTGTCATTACAAAGGGGTGTGTGAGTGTTTAATAGCAATATTTGCCCAGGCTTAAATGTAGTAAAGTCCTGCCTTCCAGAGCTGGGGTGAGGATTAATGAGCAAGGTGGTGCTTAAGGAAAGCACTGGACAAATGGCAGGTAAAGTAAAGGGACCCCTGACCATTAGGTCCAGTCGTGGCCGACTCTGGAGTTGCGGCGCTCATCTCGCTTTACTGGCCAAGTTTGGAATAGAGTAGTTGCTTTGGAAGATGATAATTAGGCATCCTTACAAGATGACAAGTCCAACAAAGTTAATGTTGAAGAATCATTGCTTCGACACTGGTGATCTTTGCTTCTTCCAGTACACTGGCATTAGTTCGCCTGTCTTCCCAAGCGATAAACATAAAGGTACCCCTGACCATTAGGTCCAGTCGCAGACGACTCTGGGGTTGTGGCACTCATCTCGCTTTACTGGCCGAGGGAGCCGGCGTACAACTTCCGGGTCATGTGGCCAGCATGACAAAGCTGCTTCTGGTGAACCAGAGCAGTGCACGGAAACGCCGTTTACCTTCCCGCCGGAGTGGTACCTATTTATCTACTTGCACTGGCATGCTTTTGAACTGCTAGGTGGGCAGGAGCAGGGACCGAGCAACGGGAGCTCACCCTGTTGTGGGGATTCGATCCACTGACCTTCTGATCGGCAAGTCCTAGGCTCTGTGGTTTAACCCACAGCGCCACCCACGTCCCATAAGTGGCAGGTAGGATGATGCATTTAACAGAACAAGATAACAGGATTTATTTCCTTTGGGGGAGTAAGCGCTGGAAGCTAAGGTTGCCTTTGCCAATGGTGCCCCTCCAAGCGGCCAGCAGGAATGTGCCATGGGGCATGTGGGGAGCATCAGCGTGGGGAACCCAAACGACTCAACCGGGTGTCATGTAGCTGATGGGCAACGTAGGTCTCAGAGCCTGGTGGTTACCTGGCCCATGCAAGAACCTGCATGGAGCAGACAGAATCACATTCTGGACCTTCTAATTCTGTGATCTGCACAAGAGGCTCTCCATGGCTGGCTTCTCCCATCCAAATGTTCCAGCAATACTTTTTAAAAAAATGTTTCCATTCTTGGACAGGGTTTTGTAAGAGCAACACCCTCTGCAGCAAATCTAAGCCTGTGTCCATCTGCGAGTTCCGGCTGTGAGCCATCACGCCTTCCAGCCCAAAAAATGCTTGCTGGACGAGACGTGGTTCGTCAGAAGCCAGGCAGAAAATGCCAAAGGCGCTGACTTGGCACTGAGGAGTTGTCTGCTTCTAGCTTGTGGCTGAAATTCTAGTTAAAAGGCTCTGGTATCACCCATGAAACCGCTTCCTCTTTCTTATCTGAAACATCCTGTGTAATTTCTTGCTAGCAGGCTCAGGAGACCCTGGCTATGGGGGGCGTTTTCCTCTTTTGACACGTCTTTCTATTTTCGTTTTCTCTTCTCTTCCCTTCGTATATCTGTTGTGGAAAACAAACACGCACGGCGTGGTTTTAGGATGGCCAGCTTTTCAGCCAGACCCTCAAGCCTCTTTTTTTGCTGTTCAGCTTGATCTGAAACTGTTAGCAAGGAGTACTGTTTGCTTCCACGCCATGAGAAACATCAACTGCTGGTGGCTGCAGGGCCCAATGCAAAGCAGGCAGCCCTAGCCATCAGAATTGGGAAGCAAAAGTGGGCAGGGGGAAGTAGTGAGGGGGGCTTGGTCAGGCCCCTGAACTGGGCATTAGACACCCCTGATGTACAGAGTTGGAAAGCATAATGCATTTGAAGTGTTATTTCAGCGTTTTAAATAGCCTTGTGTTATTGTAACTCGCTCTACGCGGGGCTGCCCTTGAAGGTTACCCAGAAACTCCAGCGGGTGCAAAATGCCACAGTGAGGCTCCTTACAGGGTCCTTGCCATGCGATCACATTCATCCAGTGCTTTACCAACTGCACTGGCTCCCGGTGGTGTACAGCGTCAGGCTTAAGGTGCTGGTTTTGACCTTTAAAGCCCTATGCGGCCTAGGACCCACGTACCTATGGGACCGCCTCTCCTGATATGCCCCACGGAGGACCTTAAGGTCCACAAATGACAACATTTTGGAAGTCCCAGGTCGCAAGGTGGTTAGATTGGTCTCAACTAGGGCCAGGGCCTTTTCAGTACAGGCCCCGATGTGGTGGAACGCTCTGTCACAAGAGACTAGGGCCCTGCGGGACTTGACATCTTTCTGCAGGGCCTGCAAGACAGAGCTGTTCCACCTGGTCTTTGGTTTGGACTCAGTCTGACCCTTATGCTTCCCTCCCCTTATGGTTTTGATGAGGCTGCATTTTAAATTGCATTTTAACCTGTATTTTAAACTGGTGTTTTTCCCCCCATTATGATTTTACTGTAATTTTACTGGTGTTAGCCGCCCTGAGCCCGGCTCTGGCCGGAGAGGGCGGGGTATAAAAAAAGTGTATTATTATTATTCCCATGGTCAAGCTGTTTGGTCTTCCTCTCTTCCATAGCCCTCCTGCCAATCATCAATCCAATCTAAGTCGGCGAGATAAGCAAAGATGTCCAAAGGTGGAGCTCTCCAGAGAAATAAGTTCACCGTGCGACACCAGAAGCGTTCGAGCGCCAGCGAAACGAACAAGATGACTCCGGCGCAGATGGCGCGCTACTTGGCCTTCGCTGACCCCAGTCAGCCCAAGGTGAAAGAGATGCTGGCTGCCGTCCTCATGAAGGACAGGAATTTGGTGCCGGAAGAGGAAAAGGTGGCGGAACAGAAGAACCTCATCGGGGTCCTAAAAGCCACCGAGGCTCGGAACCGCCTCCGGAACACGAGGCTCCAGTACCAGAATCTGAGAGTGAGTTTGTATGGGGTTTGGGGAGGGGGGGAGCGATGTCAGGGACAGGCTAGATGAGGAGGAGAGCTGGAGACCCCCTAACCAAGAGGAAACCATAGTTCTTCATTCTCTCAGCCCTATGGGGTAGCTTAGATTGTGTCACGGTCCGGTTCATGGGCAATCAAAGTCCTGGCAGGGGATGTCAGGACCGCGGGCAAGATGGCGGGGTGGGAGCAGGAACGGGGGTCCAGAAGCCAGGAGTCAGGAAGCCAAGCGTCCGAGGGTCAGAGAGCCGGCAGTCAAGAAGTCAGGGGTCCAAGGGTCAGGAAACAAGGAGTCACGAAGTCAAAGGTCCAAGGATCAAGAAGCAAGGAGTCACGAAGTCAGGGGTCCGAGGATCAAGAAGCAAGGAGTCACGAAGTCAGGGGTCCAAGGATCAAGAAGCAAGGGGTCATGAAGTCAGGGGTCCGAGGATCAAGAAGCAAGGAGTCACGAAGTCAGGGGTCCGAGGATCAAGAAGCAAGGAGTCACGAAGTCAGGGGTCCGAGGATCAAGAAGCAAGGAGTCACGAAGTCAGGGGTCCGAGGATCAAGAAGCAAGGAGTCACGAAGTCAGGGATCCGAGGATCAAGAAGCAAGGAGTCACAAAGTCAGGGGTCCGAGGATCAAGAAGCAATGAGTCAAGAAGCCTAGGTTCAAGGATCAGGAAGCAAGAAGACAAACGCAGCAAGGCAGGAAGCGTGTTGCTGTAGCAAAGAGCCGAAGGGAAATGCTGACCTTATATCCCTTCCCAGCTCTTGCCACCAGGTGCTGTGAGTTACCAATCGGCCTCACCTGTGAGGCCACACCTTGCTTCTTCAGAACAAACTTAGGAAGGCCCCAGTCCTGCAAAGTCTTATTGGTCACAGGGCCTGGCTCCTGCACGCACACCTGACAGATTGAGTGTGAGCGACTGGCCCAAGGTCACCCAATGAGCTTCATGGCTGAGCGGGGATTTGAACTGCAGTATCCCAGGTCCTAGTCCAACACCCTAGCCATTATGCTAAATCGGCACGTAGTATCAAAGAGTACTGTGCACCCTGACTTCAGTAGGGTGAGGATGTTTACCACTCTACTTCCAGCAAGAAAATATATTTAGCTGATCCTGCTTGCCCTGTGGCCTCTAGCCTCCAACACTCGTTTTCATCTCACTATAGGGGCATCTACTTCATCCTGAGAGCAGCAAAGAGGTTGGGAAATGGAAGCACCATTCATGGGGACATAGCCAGAGACAGCAAGGGGGTGTGGCAGAAACAGCCCAGAATTCCTGGTCCATGCACAGATTTAGTTTTTTAGGGTTTGGGAAGTGTTATTGCATGCCATTCCTAAATGCAAACCCTGGGAAAGCTCCATCGAGACCTATTGGAATAACCTGCCAACGCAGTATCAATGCCCCTCCAACTTTCCCTGTGTAATCCCCGTGAGAAAGCTAGTTCTGGAAAAGTTGCTTATTTTAGACCAGACTGCCTCCATGGAAGGTATTTTCTCTCTCGCGCTCGCTCACTCTATAATCCCAAACAACATGATGTCATAACTTGGCCCCTGCTGTAACTCTGGGCTTGTTATTTACAGCTCTTGCCATAAAATATGCTATAGTTAGCAAGCTTGGAACAGGACTTCGCAGCTGCCGCTGCTGCTACTGTCAAAACAAAGCGTTTTCTGTCCTTCCAAGGCTGGGGCTATTCTGGCCAGTGAAACAAAGCCTCTCTCTTGGGGGTCTTTAACTGGCAATAAACAACGACCCGCCCTTTGCAGACTCCCAAAAACCTGGCAACAAGCAGCGCAATATGTACACAGAGATGCATCTCCCAAGAAAACCCAGTGGCTTTTCAGAGATTGTGCCTAGGGTGATGGTTAGATTTAGGCAAATGGACGTGACAGGGCTGAGGCCTCGACAGACGAGTGTTTGGGACACTGGAGCCCAATGAAATCAGTTTGGGTTCAAGTTAGCTGTGACGAGGGGCGGAGGAGAAATTTGCATTTAAAGGCAAAGCTCATTTGCACTTTCTGTAGCAACGGGAGCTCAAAAAAACACAGCCATCCTTCAGAATGTGCACTTCTCCAAATTTTGCAATGCTGTCCTCCATCGAAAGAATGTATCGAAAACTGCACATGCTGGAGTAAAGTGTTCAGCAAAGGGCATATATTCATGTAAATCACATTGCAATATGTATTCTATTGCTTAACCCCTGTAAAACTGGCTAAAATTTATAAACTAACATCAAATCTGTGTTGGAGATGTAAGGTATCAGAGGGATCGTTATATCATGTATGGTGGGGATGTGATAAAATTAAGAAATTTTGGGGAAATATACATGAGGAACTGAAAATATGTTTAAAACAACAATAGGTAAGAAGCCGGAAAAATTCCTTTTAGGAATTGTTGCAAATGACATCCCAAAAGACATGAAGAGAATCTTTTTATATGCAACAGCTGCCGCAAGGTTGTTGATTGCAAAAAATTGGAAATCAGAAGAAGTACCAACATTGAAAGATTGGCAAAATATTTTTTTGGAAATGATTGAATTAGCATAATGGTACATAATGAATTGTGAAAATGTGAATTTACGAATATAATGTATATGTATCAATATGTAAAGATTTCATACATGTATTGCAACATTAATAATAAATAAATTAAGTGCAAAAGAAAGAGAGAGAGAAAGAAAGAAAGAAAGAAAGAAAGAAAGAAAGAAAGAAAGAAAGAAAGGGCGAGTTTAACTTCACCCTTTCCTCTCCCAACGCAATCCTGAATTCCGCCACCACCACCAGCACTACAGTTAGCTTTAGAGGGAAAGTTCCCATTGCTACCTAACAGTCAGGGGTCCCCTTTACCTTTACCTTTAACTTGTTAAGATAGAGTTGTACATTTATCCACTCCATGTTTACAGTATCTCCAGGCTTTGTCTTGCACATGGCACCTTAGTATATTTGTTGTTTGACTGGTTATAAGTCTATCTCTATCTCTGCCATCTCTGCTTCCAAAGGCTAATTGCAGTGCAGGTGGGATTTTGCTGGAATCACAGTAGGGGAGGGCAAGGATAAACCGCCCTCCCCATACACTGTGGTCCTGATGAAAACCCTCCGCCCTGAACCTACTACTATTTTTTACACTTACGTGCGGTTGCCAAGCATGAATGGGGGGCAGTTTTCCCCAACCGGGCGCCCTCCAGATGTTCTGGACTGCAACTTGCATCGGCCCCAGCCAGAACAGATGTGCTGATGGGTGTTGTGCCTGTGAAAACTTTCTTTATCCTGAGCAAACCATTTTGTATGATTGGCTTTTCGGACTGATGAAGCGTGTAGCGAAACCTGTAATATATCCAGAGAACAGATCTCCTTTTGCCCACTTGCATTATTCTCACCAGGCTGGTGGCTTTGATTTTCCTTCCTATGATTAATCCATGCATACGGCTTTGTGTTTCCAAATCAAGACCCATTGAAGAACATCTCATCCAGTTCAATCTTTGAAAAACAGCTTTGAAAAACTTTTTCATATTCTCCAGTGTGCAACCCTTGCCATTATGGCGGCACGGGGTTGCCGTTCTGTGATTGGACTTACGCTACTTGTTGAACGGTTCATTTATCCAGTCTGTATAATGTTTACTGCACATGTAACTTGTTAAGACGGGACGCGGGTGGTGCTGTGGGTTAAACCACAGAGCCTAGGACTTGCCGATCAGAAGGTTGGCGGTTCGCATCCCCACGACGGGGTGAGCTCCCCTTGCTTGGTCCCTGCTCCTGCCAACCTAGCAGTTCGAAAGCATGTCAAAGTGCAAGTAGATAAATAGGTACCACTCCAGCGGGAAGGTAAACGGCGTTTCCGTGCACTGCTCTGGTTCGCCAGAAGTGGCTTAGTCATGCTGGCCACATGACCCGGAAGCTCTGTACGCTGGCTCCCTCGGCCAGTAAAGCAAGATGAGTGCCACAACCCCAGAGTCGGCCACGACTGGACCTATTGATCAGGGGTCGCTTTACCTTTACCTTTACCTTTACCTTGTTAAGATAGAGTTGTACATTTATCCACTCCATGTTTACAGTATCTCCAGGCTTTGTCTTGCACATGGCACCTTAGTATGTTTGTTGTTTGAATGGTTACAAGTCTATTTCTATTCTAGCTATTATTCTAGTAAGTTTGGTTTTATACTTCTAAGCCAGTTTGTGGTGTTGTTGTTTTGTTGTATTATTATTACTGTCACCACATTTGATACTTTGTGCATATACTTTGAATTAAGAGTACCAACTTGTTTGGAACTCAGGTCTCAGGATTGGGAGAGAGTGCTGCCATTAGAGTAGACAGCACTGGACCAAAGCTGCTTTAGACTGAACCTTTAGACTGGTTCAGTCTAAAGCAGCTTCAGTTCTTCATTCATTTCATTCTCTTTCGACTCCAGGCACAAGAGATCAACTTCCTGATCTCCTTCCAGAGGAATGCTAAAGGTGCTGTGAGGCTCGAGGTCTTCCTCCCACCCAGGAAGAACCTTAGAAAACTAGCAGACTGCATGAACACAGTCCAGGTATGTTGAACACACTAACTGTCTGGCAAATAGTTCCTTCCCACTGACATATCTCTCCATTTCCCGGTTCTGAAAGGGGGGCCCATCAAGAAAGAAGGTCGCTTAGAAATGTGGGGCTGCGCAGTTCCCTCCGCAGACAGCGTGCACATGTCGCCGCAGAATATCGAGGAGGCCCGGCCCCCTCCTTTAATTTTTTAGGGGGGGTCCTAGACCGCTCGCGGCCACCCCTAGATGGCGCCCCTGATTCATATGGTGGACCGTTTCCTGGGAAGACAAAGTGATGGCCATCATCTTCAGTGGTTCTTTAAAAGCATTCCGCTAGCTCACTGGGGCTGGATCCACTGATAGTTAAGAACATAAAGGGAGCCAGCTGGGTCAGACCACAGCTAATAAATAGCCTTCTCCTCCATGAATTTGCCCGATCCTCCTCTTCCTCTTCCTCCTCCTCCTCTTCCTCCTCCTCCTCTTCCTCCTCTTCCTCTTCCTCCTCCTGCTCCTACTCTTCCTCCTCTTCCTCCTTCTCCTCCTCATCCTCCTCCTTCTTCTTTTTCGCAAACTTTACTGAGCACAGTGGTACCTTGGTTCTCAATCTTTATCCGTTCCGGAAGTCCGTTCCAAAACCAAGGCACCCTTTCCCATAGAGAGTAATGCAAAATGGATTAATCCTTTCCAGACTTTTAAAAACAACCCCTAAAACAGCAACTTAACATGAATTTTACTATCTAACGAGACCATTGATCCAAAAAATGAAAGCAATAATCAATGTACTGTGCTATAAAATAAATGAGACAGTATTGTAGATGACAAAAATTATTATCCACACAGTCATAAAAACAAATTAACCAAAAAGTCCTCTAAAACAAAAACGCAAAATAAAAAGCAAAAACAAAAGCGCCAAACTTAATCCATTACGGAAGTCCATTTGACTTCCGAAATGTTCGAAAACCAAGGTGCAGCTTCTGATTGGCGCTGGTGCCCCGAAAACAATACCCGACAACTGCATTGGATGTTTGGCTTCCGGAAAACATTCGAAAACCAGAACACTACCTCTGGGATTTCGGCGTTTGAGAACCAAGGCTTTTAAGAACTAAGGTACCACTGTATCTTAAAAACAGTTACCAAATTTATTTGTCTTCCAAGACAAATACATGTACAGATGTGAAGTCTTGCGTGCTGCCATTCACAAGGCGTCAAAACAAATTTGGAGAATCTTTTACATTACAAATTCAGCTCACAATCCGCAGGGTGGACTTGAGATAATTTCTTAACTGGTGACTGCTGCAACTGAAATGGACACGGGATTGCTTCTGTTACTATTGTTAATAAACTATGTGAACCGAGACCATCTGCACACTGTTTCCTTTGCTTTGCTTTACAGAGAAGCCGTATTGAAGAGATTCTGGAAGATGAAACGGGTGAGGTCTATATCAGAAAGCCTTGAAACCCCACATAAGACAAGGCAGTATAAGGGGAGGAGATTATGGATGGAAGCCAGACAGAGACCAAATCTCTGGACAGCTCCAACTTAGAAAAACTATTGCTGTTCAATAAACTTCATGGATTATTATCCATGACTTAAGACAAAAAACAAAAAACCTCATAGTTAGGGGTGGACAAATCTGTTTCAGCTCCATGTTATTTTTGCATGTGTTCACCCAAAAGTCTGTTCCATTCCATTTTTTTCCCATTAATCTTCGAGATCTCCAAAGATATATTGCATTTAAATGTGCATTTTAGGCTGCAATAGGACCTCTCAACAGTTGTGTATAAGGCTGCGCGGTCAAAATGCAATTTTTGAAAACGTAAATTGTTAAAAGTTTGGGGTACTTTTTCAAAGAAACGATCGTGGCTAAACATTCAGGAAGTACAAACAGCTGGCCAGTAACTTAACTGACAGATCTGCACCGTGGTCAGAGAGGTCCTGATCAGCAAAGATGGGATTCTCTCTCCAGTTTGCAGCTCTGCCTTTCAAATCAATGTGCGTGGTGCAGGGCCTAAAGCATCCTTTGCCAATCTGGGGCATGGCTCTGCTTGCTGAGGCTGAAGGGAACTGTCATTCAAAACATCTGGAGGGCACCAGAGTGGCAAAGGTTTGCTAGAGCATTATGCCTGGGATGGGAGATGGCTGTTGAAGGAATGCTGGACCTGAGATTAGTCATCTCTTGTTAGAGACATGCTTTTCAGTTCAAAAACCTTTTGGTACTGAAGACCTTTCCTTCAGTGCAGTCCTGTGCCTAGTTAGCAAAATAGCTGAGCATCAGACTTGCAGAGTTTGCTGTGCTCTGTAGAGACTGAATTCCTTCCATTTAAACCCTGTCCAAAACATGCAATCCTGTGCATGCTTAGTCATGAATGTGGGACTCGCAACATCCTCATTCCATTGGTGATGCATGTGAAACCTCGTGAGAAGCAGGCACTGGCCCCAATCCCCATCCGTTCGCACCTCCTTGCTTCCTCCTCTGTCAGTTTTGTATTTTCTGCCTCCCCGCCCAGCAACCATATAGCCTGTAACAACTACTAGGCTCTCTCTTCAACCCAAAATAAAGCAGGGGGTCAGCATGCAGTCAGGTGGTCCCTGGTCCATGAGATAGTGCCCCCCCCCTTCATCTGCAGAGAATGAGGCCTGCGGGAGTCATTGCATGAATGAGATGACTTCATGGGATTCAAATGCTTAGAACGTGTTCCTATATATGCCTGATTCTAAGGTTTAACAATACAAAAGTAGATTCTACCAGGCTCATTAAAAAGCATAGGTAAAGGTAAATGGACCCCTGACCGTTAGGTCCAGTCGCGGATGACTCTGGGGTTGTGGTGCTCATCTCGCTTTACTGGTCGAGGGAGCCGGCGTACAGCTTCCAGATCATGTGGCCAGCATGACTAAGCCGCTTCTGGCGAACCAGAGCAGCACACGGAAACGCCGTTTTCCTTCCCGCCGGAGCAGTACAGTGGTACCTCGGGATGCGAATGGGATCCACTCCGGAGCCCTGTTCGCATCCCGAATGGAACGCAAGATGTGACAGTGCATCTGCGTGTGCACGAGTCGCGTTTCACCGCTTCTGCACATGCGCATGATGTCATTTTGAGTGTCTGCGCATGCGCGAGCGGCGAAACCTGGAAGTAACGTGCTCTGTTACTTCCGGGTCGCCGCGGAGCACAACCCGAAAATATTTAAGCTGAAGCGTATTCATCCCGAGGTATGACTGTACCTATTTATCTACTTGCACTTTGACATGCTTTCGAACTGCTAGGTTGGCATGAGCAGGGACCGAGCCATGGGAGCTCACCCAATCGCATAGGACATGTCTAAACCGCACCACTTCATAAGATCATAGAATTGTAGAGTTAGCTGTGGTCTAAACCACTGAGCCTCTTGGGCTTGCCAATTAGAAGGTTGGCGATTCGAATCCCCGCAACCAAGTGAGCTCCCGTTGCTCGGTCCCAGCTCCTGCCAACCTAGCAGTTCAAAAGCATGCCAGTGCAAGTAGATAAATAGGTACTGCTGTAGCGGGAAGGTAAACAGCGTTTCCGTGCGCTCTGGCACTTGTCACAGTCCTCCGTGTACCAGAAGCGATTTAGTCCTGCTGGCCACATGACTTAGAAAGCTGTCTGTGACAAATGCCGGCTCCCTCGGCCTGAAAGCAAGATGTGCGCCGCAACCCCATAGCCACCTTTGACTGGACTTAACCGTCCAGGGGTCCTTTACCATCTAGTCCAACCCCATGCAATGCAGAAATCTCAGCTAAAGAATCCCTGAGAGATGGCCCTCCAGTCTCAGTTTTAAAACCTCTAGTGAAGGGGAGACCAGCACATTTTGTGGTCGTCCGTTCCACAGCTCTTACCGTCAGAAAGTCCTTCCTGATGTTTATCCAGAATCTCATTTCTTGTCATTTGCATTTGTTTGTAATTTGTGTTGTGTTGGTTTTATGCACCTGTTTAACTTGCCATGCCTTTCCGGGAAGAATTCTGAGGACTGAAGTTTCTCGAGGTGCCAAGGATTGTTTTTCTTCTTCCCCTACAAAGCTACAGTTCTCAGTGTTCCCAGGGGAGAGGGGCTTTTGCCAAACCATGTGAATGGCATAATATATATACTGTATTTTTCGCTCCATAAGACACACTTTTTTCTTCCTAAAAAGTAAGGGGAAATTCTGTGCATCTTATGAAGCGAATGCGTAGTCCCTGGAGCCGAATTGCCCAGGGCAAAAAAATCATGCTTTTTTTTTTTTTTTTGGAAAGAGGGAAGTGGGTGTTGAAAAAAAGCCACTGGTCGGCAAGCGATCAGGAGGGAGATAAGGGATGCTAGCAATAAAGGAGGCTACCTGGGAGGTAAAAGCCCATGGATCCTCAGGATTTTTGCATTGGGTCACCCCAAATTCACCATCAGATCACACAGCATGTCCATGGCTACAGCTTGCACCAAAAAAATCACGCACCCACTGTTGTGTGGCACAAAAACATGGTTACAAAGCACGGATCCACATGGATCCTCAGGATTTTTGCATTGGGCTACCCCAAACAAAACCATCAAATCACATGTCTGTGGCCACAGCATGAACCACAAAAATCATACATCCACTGTTTCGTTCAGAATATTTTATTTCTTGTTTTCCTCCTCTAAAAACTAGGTGCGTCTTATGGTCAGGTGCGTCTTATGGAGCGAAAAATACGGTATATATGCCCAAGGGGTCAAGTTCATATATCTTTTGTACAGGGATGGATAGAAAAGGCTACTTCCAAGTCCATATCAGTTTCAGATGTGTTCATTGCCTATGTCTCTTCCATCTTCCTTTCTGCGTTATGATTATTTTTTAAAAAATCCACAGGAGGTTGTGCGAATTGTGAGCAGCCCTGAGACCTCTGGGTATGGGGTGGTATATAAATTAAATAAATAAATATAAATTAAATAAATAAATATAAATAAGATAGATAAATAAATATAAGCTCCCTGCCCTCCACACATGTGTGCATGTTGCATCTGAAACTGACTGGACCAGCCATTGTAATGTCCCAGTAACGCTGGGAACTGTTGCGAGGGAGAGATGGAAACTTCTCCGCTTTTCAAAACCTCCAATTCTCTGGAATCCTACGGGAAAGCCATGCAGGACCCAGGGGTGGGGAACCTCAGCCCCCAAAAACCTAATTTTGGCCTCCTTTTACTCTTAAGAATGCCTCTTTGCTGGCCTGGGTGGAGGACCAAGAGAGGTGAGTGTAGGAACGAGCCTACCGTACAAAGCTGAAATTTACCTCCGTTGCTCTAACCATTTTGGCCTCTGGTCCTGCCCCACTGCTGGCATGTGCCCACACCAGCCCCCGAAGCTTGCCCAGAAGGGAACGTAGACCTTGAAAAAGGTTCCCCGCCCCTGATAAATCAAATCTGCATTGTTAACAGCCAGTGACCATGGTATGACCTGTCTTTTGAAACGGGTTCTCAAGTGTTAAACGCTCTGTGTCTGCTCTCTTTTGCCGCTTCAGCGAGATTCTAGGGCAACTGCCCTCCGGAAATAGGTCCCCGTTTCCTTTGCCACAATCAGGGCTCTTGGCGATGAGCGCTTGGCCTTGTGCTGAACCAAGGGGAGTGTAGCTGCTCAGACGTCTGTAGAGCATCTAAGCTTGAATAGGTTGCTTTTTCGCATATGTAAAGATAGTCACCATGTATATATATATACCCATGTTCCAATAAAGGCAACCGACCCAGCCTGGAATTGCAGCTTCTATGTTATTTCTCCTTTGCTCACTAGTCTTTCGGTGGGGTTCGCTAGGGCTGAGCCACCATGACTTTCCACAATTCACCATCCCAGTTTGTCCTGACTCTGATGTACCTAGGAGCATAGTGTGGGGAGGGCCAGGGAGCCCCCAGCCCTCTCTTTGAATGGTCACCTGGCCAGTGTGGAGGTATTGCACTCACAGAGCACCGTGTCATGGCCCCATGAACCCTCTATGTCCCAGAAGACACCCAGGAGAGAAAGTTCCCCAAGTGCAATCAATTATTGTTGCCCAGTGCATTTTGGAAACAATAACTTCTTCGTCGTCTTCTTCTTCTTCTTCTTCTTCTTCTTCTTCTCCTCCTCCTCCTCCTCCTCCTCCTCCTCCTCCTCCTCCTCTTCTTCTTCTTCTTCTTCTTCTTCTTCCTCTTCTTCTTCCTCCTCCTCCTCTTCTTCCTTTTCCTCCTCCTCCTCCTCCTCCTCCTCTTCTTCTTCTTCTTCTTCTTCTTCTTCCTCCTCTTCTTCTTCTTCCTCTTCTTCTTCCTCCTCCTCCTCTTCTTCCTTTTCCTCCTCCTCCTCCTCCTCCTCCTCCTCCTCCTCCTCTTCTTCTTCTTCTTCTTCTTCTTCTTCTTCTTCTCCTCCTGCCCATCACCCTACGGTCCCAGGGCGGGTTTTTAGAAACAGTTTAAAACAACCTACAATCACAAAAATGAGGTGGATCCAAAAAATAAAGAACTCCCTTCCTCCAAGACAATCCCCTGCAAACACACACACACACACACACACACACACACCCCATATTGGACCAACAGTAAGCCGCACCCACAAATAAGCCGCACCTTTAAAATTCAAGGCTTATTTGTGAGGGCAGCCTGCCTCCCGGCACTACTGCCCTGAATGGGGCGTGGGGGCAGCCGGCGCTCGCCACTCCGCTCCCCAAGTCAGTGCCAGCACTTGGCTCCAAATACAAGCCGCAACAACAACTACCAGACTTTTAGAAGACATCTGAAGGCAGCCCTGTTTAGGGAAGCTTTTAATGTTTGATGCATTACTGTATTTTAATATTTTGTTGGAAGCCGCCCAGAGTGGCTGGGGAAGCCCAGCCAGATGAGCAGGGTATAAATAAATAATAATAATAATAATAATAATAATAATAATAATAATAATAATTATTATCATTATCATCACAGAATTTGGCCAAAAAAAAAGTGTGGCTTATATTTGGGCCAATACAGTATATATTTTACTGCAGCTTACCCCTTTGCCAAGCGTGGGCAATAACAAAAGATTTCGGACACGTTAAGAACTTTTTCCTCTCTGGGTTGTTGTTGTTGTTTTGCTGCATTCAGTGCCTCTCCCCCTATCATCCCGCTTCTGCCTCTGTTTTTTTAACACTGGGTTAACACTGGGCTGTATTCCAAGATAGAAGCAGGAGGGAGCATAAAATTACACACAGACATATTTTTATTTATTTGTAGCTAGCCAGATGGGTGGGTACGAATAAATAAAAAAATAAATATAATAAGTAATAATTATTATTATTAAATGGCTCCTCCATCCTTTGCTCCTTCCTCCTCAGCCAGGACAAAGTCCTCTGAAGTACTATGCTTGAGAGTTTAAATGCCGCAGGCCAAACAAAGTCCAGGGCTTATGAAATTGTAGGCAAGCATATTCCGCCTTTTTAATACTTCGGCCTTTACAATTTATTACTTTTATTATTAACATGCGCTCCCAGGCTCCTGAATTTCTTGGCAATTAAATTCTGCATTGTTGCTTTTAAAATTATGTCTTCTAAATTGGTATTTTTGTGGCGGGGGTGCGGGAAGGGGTATTACGTGCTTTAGAGCATAATCCCATACATGCTTACCTGGGTGTGAGTCCCACTAAACACAGCAGGCCTTACTTCTGAGTAGACATGCCTCTAAGATTGCACCATTATTATGAATAGGAAAGCATTGTTAGGAACTGATTTTGTTGTGTGGCTAACCTGACTGGATTTGTTTTTGTTATATTTTGATAACTCCTTTTTTTAACAGAATTGCTGTTTAATACCTTGCTGCTTAATAAATATCCGGATTTTAAACAACCGATTATAAAATATGATTTATGTGTGATTGTCTCACTGTTGTAAGTGGCTTGTCCTAGATATTTTGGATTGCTTGTTTGTTGTTGTTTGTTCATCTCTTGTATTATTATTGTTTCGATGTAAATTGTCTTAAGCACTTCATATGCAAAGATGCTGTACAAATAAACTGGAAGCTGAGTTCAATTACCTGTGGTGTCTCTGACTCTTCTTTGCTGTCCAGAGCCTTGACTTCTCTCTGACTCAGATTATGCAACCGCCTTCAACCTCTCGGTTCCAAGCTGGGTTTCCATGTGTAAAGTTTTTGCACTGATACTTTGCACTGGAAGCCAGGCTTGAACCATACAATATGGACGCTCACCTAACCAGCATGGTGAGAGGATTCAACTAAGGCTTGTGAGACCTGGGTTCAAATCCCCACTCAGGCACAAAGCTCACTGGGGTGAACCTTGTCTCATTCGAGGAAAGACTCCTGACTGAAATCCTGGAAAACACCTGTCAGTCACTGTAGACCAGGCTTCCTCAACCTCGGGCCTCCAGATGTTTTGAGACTACAATTTCCATCATCCCTGACCACTGGTCCTGCTAGCTAGGGATCATGGGAGTTGTAGGACAAAAACATCTGGAAGGCCGAGGTTGAGGAAGCCTGGTGTAAACAATATTGAGCTAGATAGACCAATGATCTGACTCTGGTTTCCTATGTTTTCAGCATAAACTACATCACAGGGTTGTTGTGGGGATCAGATAGGAAGGGGGAACCATATATGCCACTTAAGCTTCCAGGAGGAAAGCCAGGATATTGTTGTTGTTGTTGTTTAGTCATTTAGTCGTGTCTGACTCTTCATTACCCCATGGACCAGAGCACACCAGGCACTTCTGTCTTCCACTGCCTCCCACAGTTTGGTTAAACTCATGCTGGTAGCTTCGAGAACACTGTCCAACCATCTCGTCCTCTGTCGTCCCCTTCTCCTTGTGCCCTCAATCTTCCCAACATCAGGGTCTTTTCCAGGGAGTCTTCTCTTCTCACGAGGTGGTCAAAGTATTGGAGCCTCAGCTTCAGGATCTGTCCTTCCAGTGACGGATCACTTCATGGATCACAGTCCTTCATGGATCACTGCCTTGTTGTGGCGAAGGGGCTTGAATAACTCAGAGAAGCTATGAGGTATGCTGTGCAGGGCCACCCAAGATGGACAGGTCATAGTGGAGAGTTTTGACTAAACCTGATCCACCTGGAGCAGGAACCGGCAAGCCACTCCAGTGTCCCTGCCAAGAAAACTCCATGGACAAAGACAACAGGCATATTATTATTAGAATCACAAAATCATAGAATAGAATCATATAGTTGGAGGTGTTAAAGAAAATTCTGGGTTGAGAGACTACTCAGCAGCCCAACTCGCCGGGGTACAAGTCCCCTGCGGGTCCATGAGATCAGTAAAAGAAGGAAATTCAAGCCAAGTAATTTGGAGCAAAACAGCAGTAGACTTAGATTCTTCATTGTTGCGCAACAGGTTCCAACAGCAGTAAGAATCCAGATAATGGGGTGATGTTGACTTTTAAAACTTCCCTCTTTCCCCCAGAATACACTTAGAGCAGCATCATTGATACATCATCTTTACATCACTGACATGTCACAAAAGGGGAGGGGTAGACAGGGGTTACACTGGTTTAACCTTGGCAAACATGTCCAGATAAGTCCTTGGTACAAGATCAGCACAGGTAAAACATGTCCAGGCGACAACCAAGTACCCACAATTAAAGGACAGTAGAGCTCCCTTTGCACATCCATAGCCTGGGGCAAGTCAGGTGATGGGCTTTTGGAAGCTAAGTGCTCAGCAATCGAAACAAAATTTAAAAAAAATTCATTCCAGTAGCACCTTAGAGACCAACTAAGTTTGTTATAGGGATGCGGGTGGCGTTGTGAGTTAAACTACAGAGCCTAGGACTCACCAATCAGAACGTTGGCGGTTCGAATCCCCGTGATGGGGTGAGCTCCCGTTGCTCGGCCCCTACTCCTGCCAACCTAGCAGTTTGAAAGCATGCGAGTAGATAAATAGGTACCGCTCCGGCGGGAAAGTAAATGGCATTTCCGTGTGCTGCTCTGGTTCACCAGAAGTGGCTTAGTCATGCTGGCCACATGACCCGGAAGCTGTACACCGGCTCCCTCGGCCAATAAAGCGAGATGAGCGCCGCAACCCCAGAGTCGGCCATGACTGGACCTAATGGTCAGGGGTCCCTTTACCTTTACCTTTAAGTTTGTTATTGGTATGAGCTTTCGTGTGCATGCACACGTCTTCAGATATCTCAGCAATTCTCACCCCTGGGCACTTCCCTGGGTGGGTGGGTGTACATGTCCTCAAGGGAGGTAGCAGGGAAGAGTCCTTTTTCCAAGGGCAAAATGGAGTTGGAATGTGTTTAAATTGGCAAGGTACAGTATATGATTTATAAAGCTAGGTATCTTCCCTGAGCAGTCAGGTCGAAAGGATACATTCTGGCATAATATTTGGAACATTCAACCACCCCATAGACGTCCCCCCCCCCCCGTAATTTCCATAACAGCTGGGATCTCCAAGGATCCTCTAGTCCAACCCCCTGCGATGCAGGAATCTCAACTAAATTATTATTATTATTATTATTATTATTATTATTATTATTATTATTATTTATTTGTACCCTGCCCATCTGGCTGGATTTCCCCAGCCACTCTGGGTGGCTTCCAACAAAGATTAAAAATACATTAAAATGTCACACATTAAAAACTTCCCTAAACAGGGCTGCCTTCAGATGTCTTCTAAAAGTCTGGTAGTTGTTCTTCTCTTTGACATCTGGTGGGAGGGTGTTCCACAGGGCGGGTGCCACTACCGAGAAGGCCCTCTGCCTGGTTCCCTGTAGCTTTGCTTCTCGCAGTGAGGGAACCACCAGAAGGACTTCGGCACTGGACCTCAGTGTCCGGGCAGAACAATGGGGGTGGAGATGCTCCTTCAGGTATCCATGGCAGATGGCCATCTCCAACTCTGCTTAAAAACCTCCAAGGAAGGAGAGTCCACCACCTCCTGAGGGAGACTGTCCAACAGCTCTTCCTGTCAGAAAGTTCTTCCTAATGTTTAGCCTGAATCTCCTTTCTTGTAACGAGGTTATTGGTTCGAGTCCTGCCCTCCAGAGCAGGAGAAAACAGGCTCGCTCCATCTTCCTTGTGGCAGCCTTCCAGATATTTGAAGATGGCTATCATCTCTCAGTCTCCTTATTCAGATAAAAGTCCAGAGAATCTTGTGAAACTCCTTTGTTATTGGAGACTATCCCATGCAGACAAAGTCTCTGCACATCATGCATTTAAAGCACATTTAAAGCATGTGCAAAGCACATTGCTCTCCCCAAAAAAAGAATCCTTCACCGAGCTCCAATTCCCAGCACCCATTACAAACGACAATTCCCATGATTATCGGGGAAGACAAGTGCTTTAAATATATGGCTTGCACACTGCCATAAGCGCAAGCTTTCTTCTGGCACTGAGCAACATGGTGCAATATCATATGGCATGTGTCAGTGCTGGATTGGTGCTCCAGAGCTTTCTGCCTATATACATAAAAATGTAATGCTGTCATCACGCTGCCCCAATTGGAGGATCTGTTGCGTCACATCACAATGCTGGATTTGCATAAAGCCAGAGCACAGCCTCCCATTGGAGGGTTTGCAGTGCCTCATCAAGGGGGAGGGGGAATGGGAGGAGAGTTGGCAAGTAAATTGAAAAATACAGGAGAGCCATTCTTGCAGTGAAGGACTATCTAGTGGGGTTTTATTTCCTTTCAAAGGCCTACGTAACAACCCAAGAGGGAAACGGAAATAATGGCAGCCAAGTAGTATCTCAAAGGCTGCAACACTCAGAATCGATCCTTGAATAATTGTTCCCAAAAGAAAAAGGAAGAATACTTGAGACTCAAGAGGAGTGGAGATCAGGAAAGTGAAAAGGATAAAGGTCAGGAGGACATCAGGAGCAGAAAAAGAGCAACATCTCCAAGGCAGCGTCAGAGTTAAGCAGAACTCGCCCCCCTGAAATCAGATTTAAGCAAAACATTGCATTTGCAAGTGGTGGTCCTCCAGTATAATTGGAAAAATCAGGGGGATTGCTGCAGTATACAAGCCACACGTGTGATATCAGTTCCTTTAATGTTGTGGTTTTCAAAGGGCGTTGCAAGAACCCCTGAGGTCCCTTAGAACAGGCTTCCTCAACCTCAGCCCTCCAGATGTTTTGGCCTACAACTCCCATGATCCCTAGCTAGCAGGACCAGTGGCCAGGGATGATGGGAATTGTAGTCTCAAAACATCTGGAGGGCCGAGGTTGAGGAAGCCTGCCTTAGAAGATTACCCAGAGTTCCCCAACAAGCAGGAAAGAGAAGCAAACTTTACCCAAAGACAGCTTTCCCCAACGCCTTTGGTTTATTTCATGTAAGGAATATGTGTGCCGCTCTTTGTTCAATAACCCCAGGACGACAGATTTTCAATTCGAATCAATTTGAGTTTTAATTATTATTATTTCATATTTTTTAAAAAAATCTTTTCGTACAAGCAATCAAAAGGACAGAATGTGGTAAATAAACATGTACGCGCTTAACAGCTGCTAAATATAACAAGAACCACAGTTGGCATTAAAAGAGAAAGAAAGCAGAAGACAAGCTTAGTGTTTCTTACATTTGAACGGGGTATACATTTAATTAATTAATTAATTAATTATGAGCTTGATGGAACTAAAAAGGAAAAGGATTTAGGGGGGAGATCTAAATGATAACAAAGTAGGTACCAGGTTAACTTTTATTATATGGGAATGTTGATGTGGAAGAAGTTTTTTTAGGCTGGCCTAATTACTGCAATGTCAGGGGATGTTTTGCATTCAGGATTTAGTGATTTAACCCTGCGCCCTCCCTCCTTTTCCTTTGCCAAGAAAAAAAAACCTGCCGCAGGCTTTTGTTAGGAGTCCTGACAGGGAATTGTATATAACCCATGCTGAGAAACTTGTGGTGCCGAAACTTCACCTGCGCAGATCCTGAATGAGATATTAAGGCAATATATTGCGGCGGCTGAGCAGATAAGAGCAATCTCAGTACCTCCTATAGAGATCTGTAGGACAAAGCAGACTGGATCGATGTATTTATTTGAAGGATTTTCACCCCGCTTTTCAGCCAAAAAGTGCTCCCAGGGGGCCTTACAAAGATCGGTAATAAGACAGTTCCTCCTTTCAGGTTTTCAATTTAACAGACATAGCACAAAAGGAATGGGGATGGGGGTGGAGGAGGGGGGAAGCAAACTCGTGCACTGGGTCTTATTTATTTATTTGAAAACATTTATAGAACACTAAACCCTTACCATAGTGATGCACAAGTTTAGCAGAATGTAATCAAGCACATAAAAAGCACATCATAAAATACTGTCAACAAATAATGCCAGTGAATAGGCTCATCTCTCTGGAAAAAGAAGCAGATTATTATTTTTTTAATACATGATGAAAGACCACAGTTGTTGGTTCCTGTCTAGTTTCCATGGGGAGCATATTCCACAGGGCAGGTGCTGTGGGCCTGAAACCAAGCAGCTACAGAATGAGGCTCTGGCGCATGAGGCAACAGATACTGAGCCTCCAGAGGAGACCGCAGTCTACCTCTAATCCTGGGAGTAGCTCTAGCCATCATCCTGTTCGACAGAGTCTCACTTTCAACTCTACAATTCTATCATTCTCTCTTCTTCTTTGGTGATCCCTCGTAGCCGAGTAAGATTGTCTTCCATAAACACGGTTTTAACAATGAGTCCGTAAGTGACTGTGGAGGCCAATTCTGGATCCACATGTTCTTCCACAGTGGGGACATAGGTTTCCAGGTGGGAGTTGATCACGGTGAGGATTTGCCAAGCGTGCCTTCCTCTTAGCACATTTCTCCCTTGTGTCCTGAGTTCAAGTGTCTTCAAAACCCATGACACCTTTGGTAAAGGCTGTTCTCCAATTGGAGCGCTCGCAGGCCAGTGTTACCCAGTTGTTGGTGTTTATACAGTGGTACCTCTGGTTACGGATTTAATTCGTTTCGGGGTGCAGTGCGCACCCCAAAAAATCTGTAACTAGAGGCGCTGCTTCTGTGCACCCGTGCAACGTGATAGAGCGTTTCTGTGCATGCGCAAGCGGCAAAACCTGGAAGTATACACTTCCAGTATACACAGCCGTAACCCGAAGATTCTGTAACCTGGAGGTTATGCAACACGAAGTACCACTGTACAGTGGTACCTCAGGTTACAGACGCTTCAGGTTACAGACTCCGCTAACCTAGAAGAACTTTGCTTCAGGTTGAGAACAGATATCACGCAGCGGCAGCAGGAGGCCCCATTAGCTAAAGTGGTACCTCAGGTTAAGAACAGTTTCAGGTTAAGAATGGATCTCCAGAACGAATTAAGTTCTTAACCCGAGGTAGCACTGTACTACTTTTTTTTTTTTAATTTGCTTTGAAACAGTCTTTAAACCTCTTTTGTTAACCACCAACATTACTCTTTCCATTTTTAAGTTCGGAATAGAGTAGTTGCTTTGGAAGACGACAATCAGGCATCTGCACAACATGACCAGTCCAACGAAGCTGATGTTGAAGAATCATTGCTTTGACACTGGTGATCTTGGCTTCTTCCAGTGCACTGGCATTAGTTCGCCCGGCTTCCGAATGATGTGTAAAAAATTTTGGAGACACCATTGATGGAATCTTTTGAGGAGTTGGAGATGGCGTTGATAAGTGGTCCATGTTTCACAAGCATATAGTCAGGTTGGTAGTACAATAGCTTTGGAAACAAGTATTTTGGTTTTCCTGCGAATGTCCCCTGTGCGTGAATTTGTTTTATGTGTGTCCTGTGATTCTATCCCTAGGAAACACGACTAGGGAGCTTTGGGTGTTTATCAGACTGGGGAGATCCAGGAGCAAGCATGCATCAAGGTCACAGAGGCAGAGGGGAAAGGTTTGACATATTCGTGTCATCTTTCAGACGTCGGTTTTGATCTCAATCTTTGGCTGCAGGAGTGAGCGTATGGCTAGCAGGAAATAAACGGCATTGTGGGAGGGTGAGATGGCCCCTTCTTGCTTGAGAGAGAGAGAGAAGGGTCTGTCCTCTGATGTGGGCCCAGGAAATTGAGTTCCCGATTGCTGGAGTTGGGTGGCACCTACTGGATGCACAGAAGAACGCAGCTCAGAAGGAAACGACAAGGAACGGGGAGAAATTAATAAATAATAATAATACGGTCAGCTCGCATTCCCTGCTTTAACTGCTGTGCTGCTTTACAGGGGTTATTTTATTGCGTGCTTTAACTATGGGTGCTTATATTTTGGGTGCTAATTATGGGTGCCTATAAGGGGATGTGGGTGGCACTGTGGGTTAAACCACAGAGCCTAGGACTTGCCAATCAGAAGGTCGGCGGTTCGAATCCCCGCGACGGAGTGAGCTCCCGTTGCTCGGTCCCTGCTATTGCCAACCTAGCAGTTCAAAAGCACGTCAAAGTGCAAGTAGATAAATAGGCACCACTCCGGCGGGAAGGTAAATGGCATTTCCGTGCGCTGCTCTGGTTTGCCAGAAGCGGCTTAGTCATGCTGGCCACATGACCCAGAAGCTGTACGCTGGCTCCCTTGGCCAATAAAGCGAGATGAGCACCGCAACCCCAGAGTCATCCGCGACTGGACCTAATGGTCAGGGGTCCCTTTACCTTTACCTTATATTTTAATGGTTATGATGGCTTTGATTTCAATGACTACGGAGTTTGACAGCTATGCCCTACCTCCTCTGTCGGAGACAGTATGGTTCTGAGTACCGGTTGTTGCAAACCACAGAGGAAGAGCGTGCTCTTGAACTCAGGGCTTGCTTGCCCCAGGACTGAAGGTTCCCACACCAGTCGCATGGCTTGCTGGCCGGCTCTCAGAGACACAACCCTACACACAAACACAAACACACCATCTCTTCCAGAGCAACAGAAGCTAAGAAGGCAGAGAGCCAGATGGGAATTTCAGAACAGCTACAGTAGTCCAAATGCTTTGCTTGCAGAAGTGCTTGGGGAGGGAGTAGATGGTGGAAACTGCCTTCTACTGAGTCAGATTGGCTGGTCCATATAGCTCAGTGCTGCCTACACTGACTGGCAGAGGCTCTTCAGGGTTTCAGGCATGCAATCTCTCCCAATGAAATATACATGGAGTCGAGAGTGGATTTCATGCTCCTTATTCAGCTCATAGTGGTGAGGAGGAATGGAAGTTCCCCCAGGATGTCTGCTTTATATACATTATTTACACAATGGGCCCCATGTGATTGGCTAATTCTGGGATTCTCCTGTAGGCCAATCAGGTTGCGGATTCACTTCCACCTGGAGCTGGATTGGGTGGCTCCTGCGGATCAATCATAATGCTGCATTGTTCTAGGACCAATCAGACTGCTGCATTCTGAATCCTATTGTTCTAGAACCAATCAGACTGCTGCATTTTGGATCCTATTGTTCTAGAACCAGTCAGACTGCTGCATTTTGGATCCTATTGTTCTAGGACCAATCAGACTGCTGCATTTTGGATCCTATTGTTCTAGGACCAATCAGACTGCTGCATTTTGGATCCTATTCAACTCAGTACATAACACCCAGCCTTGCCCAGAAACACTGAGGATTAAAGCTGGGAGCTTCTAAGCGCAAAACACCATCGATCTATGGCCCTCCCTGGCGAAGTGGAAACTCAGACACAGCCCATTGCCTGACTGAGAGCCAGAGCATAAGTGAAGCTGCTGGATTTGTCCTTTAAAGTCATCCGAGTCTGTGGCCATCCCTGCCTCCAGTGGCAGTGAGTTCCATAGTTTCAACTATACGCTGCCTTTCTTTTCTCTGTCCTGAATCTTCCAATGCTCAGCTTCCTTGCATTGTTCCTCCTCAATTCGAGTGGGATGAGAAAGGGAGAAAAAATTTATCTGCATCCCTGCCCCCTCCAAGGATTCTGGGAGCTGTTGTTGTTGTTGTTTAGTCATTTAGTCGTGTCTGACTCTTCGTGACCCCATGGACCAGAGCACACCAGGCACTCCTGTCTTCCACTGCCTCCCGCAGTTTGGTCAAACTCATGCTGGTAGCTTCAAGAACACTGTCCAACCATCTTGTCCTCTGTCGTCCCCTTCTCCTTGTGCCCTCCATCTTTCCCAACATCAGGGTCTTTTCCAGGGAGTCTTCTCTTCTCATGAGGTGGCCAAAGTATTGGAGCCTCAGCTTCAGGATCTGTCCTTCCAGTGAGCACTCAGGGCTGATTTCCTTCAGAATGGATCGGTTTGATCTTCTTGCAGTCCATGGGACTCTCAAGAGTCTCCTCCAGCACCAGAATTCAAAAGCATCAATTCTTCGGCGATCAGCCTTCTTTATGGTCCAGCTCTCACTTCCATACATCACTACTGGGAAAACCATGGCTTTAACTATACGGACCTTTGTTGGCAAGGTGATGTCTCTGCTTTTTAAGATGCTGTCTAGGTTTGTTTAAGATGCTCCAAGGATTCTGGGAGCTGTAGTTTGTTAAAAGGCTTCTGAGAGCTTTTAGGAGGCTCCTGTTCCCCTCGCACAGCTACATTTCTCAGAGAGAGGGAGGCACCTGTCTTTCGAAGGAAAGATGCAGCCTTCCCAGCTATAGGAGAATTGGCTGATAAAACTATTGTGTGAGATGGCCAAGTTAACGTGTTTAATTAGAGAAAAATCATTCCTGACACTTATTAAGGATTGGAAATTTCTTGTGGAGTTTTTGCGCGAAATAGAAAATGGACTTGTCATAGCTGAAGATTGGAAAAAATACTGGTTTATAGAAGATGGAATGATTGGATCTTAATATCATATGTAGCTGCAGGACAGAGCCGGAAGTCCTGCTATCCTAATTTATCTCTCTCTAATCTTTTCTCTCTCTTTCTCTCCTCTCTGTTTCTCTCTCTTTAGGTTTCCCTTTTTGAAATTCTTTTCTTCTTTCTGCCTTTGTTCTTTTTCCTAGACTAAGTATATTACAATAACAACAACAACAACAACAATAAATAATTTTATTTATACCCCACCCTCCCCTGCCAGAGCCGGGCTCAGGGCAGCTAACACCAATAAAATCACAGTAAAAACATAAGGGGGGGCCAATTTAAAATACAGGTTAAAATGCAATTTAAATGCAGCCTCATTTTAAAGTAGCTGATAAATCAAGACCGTGAGGGGAGGGAAACATAAGGGTCAGACTGAGTCCAAACCAAAGGCCAGGCAGAACAGCTCTGTCTTGCAGGCCCTGCGGAAAGATGTCAAGTCCCACAGGGCCCTGGTCTCTTGTGACAGAGTGTTCCACCAAGTCGGGGCCAGTACTGAAAAGGCCCTGTCCCTAGTTGAGACCAATCTAACCACCTTGCGACCTGGGATCTCCAAAATGTTGTCATTTGTGGACCTTCAGGTCCTCCGCGGGGCATACCAGGAGAGGAGGTCCCATAGGGATACATTGCAAAGATACCGTGCTTTGCAATGGGCATGTATGTATAGTGCCTTGGAGGGAGGCATGGCTGGCAAGTTGGAACCCTAAAAAATAGCACCCCTGCAGGCGAGGAGGACACACTGCAATGTCTTTCGCAAGCCCCAAAAGTCATGCCGCTCTGATAGGCTTACCCTCCTCTATGAATTAATCCGACCTCCTTGTTAGCCTGTCTAACCCAGAGGTGATCACTGTATCTTATCCCATCGATCCTGAAAAGGAATCCCTGGTTAAGAACCCCACAGGGCTAATGCAGGACAATTTCAATGGATTCCAGCCCATGACATCTTTGTTTCTCTTGCAAGTCCCAAAGATCTCAGAAACTCCCTCTACAGTAACTCTTAAACTTTTGTTATAAGAAAAAACTGCTCCTTTTCCCTTATGGGGAACCCAAGAGCCCGTATAGAGTCCTTATGTAGGTTCTCTATCAGTAGGAGAAAATAACAGAGGCCAAGCAGAGAATATTGAGAAGCAAAGCAGCTAGCAAGCCTGATCTTTATTAATAGACTTTTGAAATTGCCTCCCCTGTAGCTCAAGACCACCCCCCAAAACATCATACATACATCACAGAAAGAGGTGGTCCCTAGCAGAAATTTGAGCGTGTTGCTTCTCTCCTGTCTGCCAGGATACCTGATAATGCCTTATCTGATTGCCTTTTCTGGGTAGCCTGGCCATTCCTTGGAGGTGGTAAATACTTAGTTCCTGAATCTCTTCACATATTGATAGTGTGCTCAGCTTAACAGATACTTGCCAGACTGTATTTGCAAAGGGAAGCGTAAGCCCCTACAGTCCAAAGACAATTGGAAAGCTTTTCCCATTTCATTCCTCCTTGCAGAGAAAGATTTGAGGTCAATTTGGGAAAGTCAAAATGGCTTCAAGATGGTTCTCCTGTACTATTTCAGACACATGGTTTATATACTGTACTTACGTACAGTATGTGTTTGCCTGGTACATTTATGAACATTTATTTTATATCTTAGACCTTATAATTCTCATAACACTTTCTTGCACTGAGAACTGCTATTCTGTTGTGTTTATTCTTTGCAGAAATTCCTTGTGTTGTATTATCTTTTGGCAACTACAGGAGAGCAAAAAGACTAAACATTCAAACTCAGACATTAATTTGCTCTTTGTGGCTGTGACCAGCAATGCTATATGTATGCAATGGGGGAGGGGACAATATACTGTCAGGTTTGTTCATTTATTTATTTATCGTATTTATTAAATTTGCGTACCACCCTTGATCAGTAGATCTTAGGGCAGGTTCACAGCATAAAAATACAAGATAAAAACAAACGATATATGACTGAAGAGGCAAGCAGTATTTCTATGAAGTGGGTTGCCTCTTCAGCACAAGGAGGATACATCACAGAAACCTTCATCACAGATCTTCAGCAGTTTTTTTGTCACTTTCCTGGTCGCCTTGGCAACCAGCTTGAAAGCTGTTTCTCCCCAAGCCTCTGTTTAGCAACCACTCCTACAAAAGCATTTAAATAATGAACTTATGGCAATAAAGTTCACTTTTAAACATTTTCGGCCCCACCCTATGTATAGAAAGGGACGCGGGTGGCGCTGTGGGTTAAACCACAGAGCCTAGGACTTGCCGATCAGAAGGTTGGAGGTTTGAATCCCCGCGACGGGGTGAGCTCCCGTTGTTCGGTCCCAGCTCCTGCCAACCTAGCAGTTCGAAAGCACGTCAAAGTGCAAGTAGATAAATAGGTACCGCTCCAGCGGTAGGGTAAACAGCATTTCTGTGAGCTGCTCTGGTTTGCCAGAAGCGGCTTAGTCATGCTGGCCACATGACCTGGAAGCTGTACGCCGGCTCCCTCGGCCAAGAAAGCGAGATGAGCGCCACAACCCCAGTGTCGGCCACGACTGGACCTAATGGTCAGGGGTCCCTTTACCTTTACCTATGCATAGAAGTCCCACCAAGTTCAACAGGACTTACGCCCAGGTAAGTGAATATAGGATTACAGGCTAAGAGCCTACCCAGAAGTGAATCCTATTGAATTCAATGGGGCTAACCCCCAGGTAAGTGGAGTCAGGGGTGCATCCTAAGAGGTTAAAAAAACGACTCCCTCTTTTCTATAGGAAATTTTTTAAAAATGCAAATAAAAGGGAGACTTTGTGTCCCTATCTTAAACACTTAGGATCACAGGAACTACCTTACGCTGAGTCAGACCATTGGTCCATCTAACTTAGTACAGTCTGCACTGACTGGCAGCAACCCTCCAGGGTTTCAGATGGGAAATCTCTCCCAGTCCTACCTGGAGATGCCGGGAATTGAACCCGATACCTTCTGCATGCAAAGGAGATGCTCTGGCATTGAGCTCTGGCAAGGGTATCTGCATTTGCCACTGGAATAATATTCACCAGCAATGCCCACGTAATATTCTGCTTCGTGATGTGCTGGTGTTACCTGGCGGGATGTCTCGCCGTCTTCAAACTACCGTATTTTTCGCTCTATAGGATGCACTTTTCCCCCTCCAAAAATTAAGGGGAAATGTGTGTGCATCCTACGAAGCGAATGCAGGCTCCTTGGCTTCAGCGATAGCAACGCAAAGCCTCTGAAGCACAGTGGGAGAACTCCCCCCGCGCTCCTTGGCTTCACATTGCTTTCGCCGAAGCCGCCTGAAGCCCCCGGAGCACAGGGAACTCCCTCTATGCTCCGGGAGCTTCAGGCAGCTATCCGCAAGCCTTCAGAGCGCAGCAGGAGTTCCCGCCACACTCCGAAGGCTTGCGGATAGCCGCCTGAAGCCTGGAGAGCGAGAGGGGTCAGTGCACACCGATCACTCTTGCTCTCCAGGCTTTGCTTCGCTGGAGAGGCAATACCGCTGGAGGGGCTCCGTTTCTCCTACCGCTTCGCTGAAGGGGCGCTGCGCAGAGAGGGGGAGAAATTTTCTTTCTCCTGTTCTCCCCCTCCTATGGTCCGGTGCATCCTATGGTCCGGTGCGTCATATAGAGCGAAAAATACGGTAGTTTGCCGGAACAGACCAAAGATTCACTCTTGTGGAGCATCATCTCTAACAGGGAGGCAGCCAGATGCCTCTGGGAAGCTGCACGATGAAAGTTAACAACACCCAGTTCTTTGCCTCGGGCATCTGGCAATCAAAGATGCTGCCCCTTAATGTTACCAGTCATTGCAAACAGACAATAATCTGGCAGCCTACCTTCACATTAATGTGTCTAATTCATTTTTAGCATGAACTGCCCAGTTTCAGATGAAGGGTGGTATACAAATTTAATAATAAATAAATAAATAAATAAAGATGTACCCGTATTTTTCGCTCTGTAAGATGCACCAGACCACAAGACGCACCTAGTTTTTGGAGGAGGAAAACAAGAAAAAAAATATTCTGAATCCCAGAAGCCAGAACAGCAAGAGGGATCACTGCGCAGTGAAAGCAGCGATCCCTCTTGCTGTTCTGGCTTCTGGGATAGCTGCGCAGCCTGCATTCGCTCCATAAGACGCACACACATTTCTCCTTACTTTTTAGGAGGGAAAAAGTGAGTCTTATAGAGCAAAAAATACGGTATCTTTTTGCCCAGGCTTGCCTGACCCATAAGAATGGACTCTCTTATTACTGAATTCCTGCATTTTATAAACTCTGGGTTTTTAAATCTTTAAATATAAAAAAACTGAGTTTATTAAGCAATAATAAACCTTTTAATCAATGGATTGACGACATGACAACAGCCACAACATATGAACGGATTGCTTATAGCCGCAGACTTTGTTTGGATAAATATGTTGACATTTGGAATGAGTTTATACAGAATATAGTAGGTTATTTATAATCATATATGTATTAGGACAATAATACTACTTAAATATCTATATAATAATGTTTGGAAGTGTACCTGACTGTACTTAGTGTACTATGTTATTCCTTTTTACTTATTATTTTTTTACTTTTTTATTTGCACTTTCTCTTTTTTCTCTATAACTAAAATTCTTATAATAAAATATTAATTGAAAAGAAACACTGCTTTATTGTTTTTCTTTTGTAGTTCTACCACCTAGAGTTTTTAATAAGCAGTTTTGAAAGGATCTTAAAAATAATTACACACAGCTCCTCATACGAAATGAAATGAATGGACCTAAGTTACCCATGTTTATAATTTCAATGGGTCTACTGTGAGTAAGGCTAGCATTGGTACAGCCCAGTGAGTGGGGGAACGATTAGACGTCGAGTCCAAAACTCCTTCCTCCCCCCCAAAAAACATGATTAGCTTGTCCTTAGACTGTACAATCTAAAACGACTGCCAGCTGTTATCTATGTGAAAGGGCTTCTTCTGGGTCAAAAGCTGTAGGATTTGTGACTGGAAGGATAGAACAGTTTAACTCATTCCTACAAAGAGAGAGAAAGCTTTCCAGGATCAGCTTAGCCCTGCAGCCCCTTGCCACCCAGAGATGCCAACTTGAATAAAATATTCAATATTTTGAATAAATATCACATACAGTGCATCGCTGTCAACGTTTCCCTTTTTTAAAGGGAAATTCCCTTATTCCGAATAGGATTCCTCGCAAGAAAAGGGAAAGGTTTACAGCTATGATACAGTGGTACCTTGGTTCTCAAACGCCTTGGTACTCAAACAACTTGGAACCCAAACACTGCAAACCTGGAAGGAAGTGTTCCGGTTTGCGAACTTTTTTCAGAAGCCGAACGTGCTCCATTTTGAGTGTTACACTTCCGTTTTGAGTGTTACATTTTGAGTGTTTTTGCTATTTAGTTTACATTTTTGTTTTTGGGGCTCTTTTTTCTTTTGTTTTCGTGACTGTGTGGAACCCAGTTCAGCTACCAACTGATTGTGTGACTGCAGTACATTGTTTATTGCTTTCATTTTATGGATCGATGGTCTCGTTAGATAGTAAAATTCACGTGAAATTGCTGTTTTAGGGGTTGTTTTGAAAAGTCTGGAACTTATTAAGCCATTTTGAATTACTTTCTGTGGGAAAGCGCACCTTGGTTTTGGAACGCTTTGGTTTTGGAACAGACTTCCGGAACGGATTAAGTTTGAGAACCAAGGTACATTGTATCGCAGGACATGTGCACCATTTGAATGGCAATGCCCATTATCTTGGGGGGGGGCAAGAGCACTCAAGCATGCAGGTTTAAGGTGTAGAGGAAAAGCAAGTGAGAATAAGCCATATTCTTTCGAAACTGTTGTTGTTGTTGTTTAGTCGTTTAGTCGTGTCCGACTCTTCGTGACCCCCTGGACCAGAGCACGCCAGGCACTCCTGTCTTCCACTGCCTCCCACAGTTTGGTCAAACTCATGCTGCTAGCTTCGAGAACATGGTCCAACCATCTCGTCCTCTGTCATCCCCTTCTCATTGTGCCCTCCATCTTTCCCAACATCAGGATCTTTCCCAGGGAGCCTTCTCTTCTCATGAGGGGGCCAAAGTATTGGAGCCTCAGCTTCAGGATCTGTCCTTCCAGTCAGCATTCAGAGCTGATTTCCTTCAGAATGGATAGGTTTGATCTTCTTGCAGTCCATGGGACTTTCAAGAGTCTCCTCCAGCACCAGAATTCAAAAGCATCAATTCTTCGGTGATCAGCCTTCTTTATGGTCCAGCTCTCACTTCCATACATCACTACTGGGAAACTTTCCAAACTAGGTATACTTTTATTGCCCCCCACTTCTCAAAGACTCCCTCCCTCTCTCACACACACATGCACATGAGATTCTTGATATAAAATGTAATTCAAGGTGGAGCGCTGTTCTTGCGAATAGCAAAATTCGCTCAGCTGTAGAGCAGCTGGTCTGCATGCAAAATGTTTTGGGCTCAGTCCCCAAAAACTCCAGGCAAGGAAGGCTCGCAAGAGGCACCCAGAAATTCCTGGAGAACCACTGAGATAGATGAGCCGTGGGTCCAACTCAGGCATCCCCAAACTTGGCTCTCCAAATGTTTGGGGACTACAATTCCCAGAATCCTTGACCACTGGTCCTGTTAGCTGGGGGTGATGGGAGTTGTAGTCCCAAATCATCTGGAGGGTCGAGTTTGGGGATGCCTGGTCTAACTCATGGGTAGGCAAACTAAGGCCCAGGGGCCGGATCCGGCCCAATCGCCTTCTAAATCCGGCCCACTGACGGTCCGGGAATCAGCATGTTTTTACATGAGTAGAATGTGTGCTTTTATTTACCGGTAAAAGGCATCTCTAGGTTATTTGTGGGGCATAGGAATTCGTTCATTTTTTATTTATTTTTCAAAATATAGTCCAGCCCCCAACAAGGTCTGAGGGACAGTGGACTGGCCCCCTGCTGAAAATGTTTGCTGACCCTTGGTCTAACTCAATCTCTCTCACCAACAATGAAAACTAGGAAATTAACAGGAAGAGAACCTTCCCACATGACGTAGCACAAAAACCTCACACAAACACTATGGAAAAGAATGAAAGTTCAAGTTCACTACCACCAATCTCTCCCCCCCCCCATCTGTCTCTCCCCCTCTCTTCTTCCCCAACCTTTCTTCTTTGGCGATCACGGCCTGTGCCTGGAGAACTTCTCGTCCCAGGTGGTGGAGCGGCACAACAAGCCGGAGGTGGAAGTCAGAAGCAGCAAGGAGTTACTGCTGCAGCCAGTGATCATCAGCCGGAATGAGAAAGAAAAAGTCCTAATTGAAGGGGCAATCAACTCTGTGCGAGTCAGCATTGCAGTGAAGCAGGCCGATGAGATTGAGAAGATCCTGTGTCACAAATTTATGCGCTTCATGATGATGAGAGCAGAGAACTCATAACCTAGTAAGAACACGGACTTAACAGTGAGTCCATAAGTGACTGTGGAGGCCAATTCTGGATCCGCACGTCCTTCCACAGTGAGGACATTGGTTTCCGGGCATGAGTTGATCACAGTGAGGGTTTGCCAAGCGTGCCTTCCTCTTAGCATGTTTCTCCCTTTTGTCCTGAGTTTGAGTGTCTTCAAAGCCCATGACACCTTTAGTAAAGGCTATTCTCCAATTGGAGCACTCGCAGGCAAGTGTTTCCCAATTGTTGGTGTTTATACTACATTTTTAAAGATTTGCCTTGAGAGTCTTTAAACGTCTTTTGTTGACCACCTGCATTACGCTTTCCATTTTTAAGTTCGGAATAGAGTAGTTGCTTTGGAAGACGATAATCAGGCATCCCCCAAAGCTATGCTGTCTATAACAATAGAGTCTCACATAGAATATAACTGATGTGTAGAAAGGACTCCTATGAACTGAAAGCAGACTGTATACACTCTTGTAGCCCAAGTAAATCTTTAATAAAAATATTTTTTAAAAAAATAGAAGGCAGCTTCCTACGGTTTTCAGGGAGCAGAGCTACATCTCCAAACTGTTTTGCATTCATT